CGTCAAGCCTTCGGCAATTGCTTCAAGCAGCCAACGTCCCGCGGGATCGTTCTCCCTCTGGAGAAACGCCAGCTCCCAAGCACCAGAGGGGCTCAGGCCCCTATTGACTAGTTCTTTGTCAGCTCATGTCTTGGACTTTGGTTCCTCATTTTCTCTCCGCCATTTGGAGCTTCACGCTTATGTGGCTCCCTCGTCTCTGCCTTGCTTTGTCTTGTCCAACCCCTGGATTTGGGGTTCCTTCGCTCGCCTTTTGGGTTTTTGCAATGTTGCGCTCATTGCTGTGGGGGCCTCCATGCCTCCCGCCACTTGGGTTCTCTCGTCTCGGGGATGCAGATCTCAGCCTGAGGTGTTGTGCCAATCGTGCCATATATCACTTCGTAGCTCTGAGTATGCAAACCTCGCTTGTTTGGCAACGTCACTCCTTGGCGCTTCAGTGGATTTTGCCTTGGCTTTGGCTCTCTCGCCATGGCTGCACTGTTTCCACTTCTTGTGTCTGTGGGTGGCCAACCTTTTCGCACCAATTCGTGTGCACTATCCAAGCTACAGTTTTGGACGATCGCTATAGTGTGAAAATCATGCTTTTGCGTGCAGCCAACCACCCTCTCTGGAAGCTTCGTGCTTTTGATTCGACCCTTGGTTACCCTGGTGAAGGTCCTCCACAACTGTGGTCGATTCTGTCCTCCAATATTGGCAGTTTTTTCAAGGATGATTCTTGGAAGGGTTGGTCGGACACTTTCGTTTGTCTCCAGGAAACCCGGATTGGGCGTAATAACTTCAGGAATGCCACCAAAGCCGCAGGGGCCTGTGGTAAGAATCTTTTTCTTGGTGATCTGCTCCCCCGGGCTTTTTCGTTGTTGCCATGTTGGGCCCCAGTCAACTTGCCGCTCCTTTTGATGTCAAACAGGATCTTACCGGCCTTTACGAGAGTGTCTTCCACTCCAAACGTGTGCAAGCTGTTTGGTGCCAAGTCCTCCCTACCTTGAAAATCCTGGTTTTAACATCTATGGCAAGTCGGGAGCCTCTGCCGACGCTGACACCCTGAAGTTCAATGACGATCTTCTCAAGGATATTTTCCAAATTGTTGCCCAGTTCGGGGACATTCCAGTGCTTGTGGTTGGTGACTTTCAACTTCCCCCTTTGCAATACCCGAGCGTGGCCGCTGCTGTTCATTTTGGTAATTGGTTCGACCCCCCTCACGTCTTACCTTGAGGATGGTTCAGCCAATCGTCCACTTACTTACAGCCGTGATTGCACCTTCTCTGGGCCTGGGGACCATAGCTCCTCGATTGATGGTATGCTTTTGAACCAAGTTGCTTTCAACTGTCTTCAATCGATTGATACGGTTGAATGGTTTCAGAAACAACATCGGCCGATCCGTGCTTGTTTCCAGTGGGACACCACTTTCCTTGTTGGACCTGTTCATGTCAAATTCGCGCCATTCGATACTTCCCAGGTTGTGAAGCCATCATGTCCATTTGACTATGTTCCCCAACCTGAAAAGTGGGATCACACCCTCAGAGAGAAGTTTGACTGCGGTCCCCCAAGGATCTCTGGTCCGAGCTTAATAATTTTGCCATCACTGCCATCCAACGAAGGGCAACCCCACCAATCTTCCAACATAAGCAATACTGTCCGGGGCAGGTTCCCTCTGGGTCAGCAGTTACCCTTCGCCTTTCCTGGTTGCATAACGCTAGAGCGAAAAAATTTGACATTCAAGCCAAAATCGCCCAGGCAAGGGTTTGACCGATGCCGAATGTGATATTTTGCATAATGCCCTTGCTAAGCTTAACCGGCTCCTTGTTTGTCTCCATGCACCCTTCGATTTTCGATCCTTGAGGTTTCCACCATTGCTGAAGCTTCATGAGTGCCATTTGTGGCTACAGGTTCAAATCGATAAAGCTGAGCATGACTTGAAGATGAAACGTATCAAGGCTTGGTGTAATAAGATTTGTCAGTCTGCCGCCACTGATCGTGCTTACCTCTTCCATCATCTCAAGAATAAAGCACAGGATCAACCTAACAACTTGGTCATTGATCACCAGGGGCACATTGTCTATCAGCCCGACCGTGCGTTAGCCACTATCAATGGCGAATGGGACGATATTTCCGCCCCAGCTCACCGGAGCTGATTTCTTTGCAACGCTGCAGAAGCGTCGCCCAGCTGCTGCCCCCCTCAGGAAAAAACTCAGAAGATCCTGTTGGATGTTCGGAACATTGCGGCCCTCCCACTGCCGCGTGCGATCAAAAGCCAACTTATTGGAGCCAAAGTCATCCCTCAGTGTTGTTTCGCCGCGCACCTGTCCAAAATCCCTAAGGTGGCTCTCGATAAAACCCAAGCTGAAATCACGCAAGCTCTCTGGGGCAACCGACCTCAGTGGAGGGCCAAACACCTTGTTTTGGGGCTTCTCTCTCAACCCCACCGTGTTGATCCCTACATTGCAAGGTTCTACTGTGCTATCCTTGACTTTATTCGGTATATCAACCATGAGCCTGTAGCCTTTAATAGGTGCCGTCGTCTTGCTTGTTCAACCAACCTTGGCAAATTCTCGCTCATTGAGAATGTGCGCACCGCGTTTTCTGCTTTTGGTTTTACACTGACCAATGACTTGTGCATTGAACATAGTGGTCGTATCAATATATGCCTTAGCCATGTGGCGGTTCGTGACCTTGTTCCTCTGCTCAAACACTTTGCAGTGCAGACGCACTACTCGCACCCTGCTAATCTTAACCGAAAGGACTTCTTTAAACCTGAAGGGTTCATTGATCTTGTCCATTCGAAGCTTTTTGGGGCCCCTTAAGTGTAAAGATGAGGCATCGTCACCTCCGCTTCGGACTCACTTTGAGTTGGATGCACTATTACTAATGACAGGCGTTTCGCTGCCAAATTTGCTGAATCGCCCTTGTGCCGCCTTTGTGAGCAAACCAAGGAATCCCTCATGCATATTTTGGATTGCCCTCAGGCGCAGGAGAAGTTCCTTCGCCGCCTGCTCATGAACTTGGTGTGAACTTCAGGCAGTTAGGAATTGTCGAGCATCCGTGGCCTATCCTGTGGCATCGATTGGAAGTTGACTATGCAAAGGACCTTCCCATTGCGGAGTTCACGAGACCGACAGTCACTGTGTCCTACTGGACTGATGGATCCGTCATCTGGGGGGGAGAACTTTCCCTTGACTGCAGCTGGCTTTTCGGTTGTCCAGGAAGATGGGCAAGTGTTTGCCTCTGGCACTGTTTCTCACCTCAGTTTATCATCTTTTTCAGCCGAATTGTGGGCCGTCATTGTCGCCACCCTCCGCTCGGACTGTAATGTTCACATTTTCAGTGATTGCAAAGAGGTTGTTCGGAAAGTGAACACGCTCGTTGAAACCTTTCAGCTCCCACACAACTGCTTGCATTTGGAATGGTGGAAAACGCTTCGGGATGTGGTTCTCTCCAGAGGGCGAACTTCCTTGACACCGGCTGTACAGATGACATGGATACACGCACACATTGCGGATGGGATTCCGGTTTCATTGATCCCTCCTTCGGTTTTGTCCTCCGCCGGAACGACTCGCAAGAATGTTGAACTCAACCGCATTGCTGACCAGGTTGCTAAGCAGTCGGCATTATCCAGGTGTGCTATTCACCCTGCTGACAAGGATCCACTTCAACAGGCCATTTTGAAGCAGCGACAGTTTCTTACAGATCTGAACAAATTCATTGGGTATGAGTGCGCGGATACCTTCACTGACCGTCCTATGCAGCAAAGGCCGATGAACAAATGTGATTTTCGCGGCTCGTATCCAGGTTTTGCTTGGACTGTCTGTGAAGAGGACTTTACTTTTGTGTGGGTTCCACCTCAACAGTGCAGCCCTCCCCAAACTGGGCTTGGACCTCAGGACTGGGATACGTTTTTTGGCCTTTGTACCAGGGCTCAAATGGATGATTGATGACTCTGTTCACAGTACCTACCAGGAGATCGCTTTTCTTTTCCACCACAGAGGCTTCCGGTTGTCCGATAGGCCCAACCATTTTCAGGAGCTCGTGCTCCGGTTGCGCAAGTGTATAGTCTCGCTTGGACGGAGCCCTTTTGCTCTGCCTGGAAAACCCACGGCCAGAGCATATAAATGCATTGGGAAGGTTCTCCCGCAAGGGGCCATTGTTGGTGCGTTGCCTTTTTTCGCCAAAGGCGAACTCCTTGCATTCTGCAGTGTCCTCGCCTCCGGTGCGGGACGATCTGCTGAGTCGTGGTCTTTTCCTTTTGACCGTCTTCTGTACAGTGCATTCATCGATCTGAGTGTCGTGGATGCGACTTTCCAGCCGACCGGATTGTCTGCGAGTGAACAGAATGGACTACTAAGGAGGTCAATCTACTCTGGTTTGGGGATCTGGGTATCGACCCACAGCCACAGAAGACCGGACGGAGAACAGAGATTGGAGATGCTGCTTCCGATTTTTTCTTGTTGGATAAGAACACCCTACACGTGCGTGACCTCATTTGAATGGAGTTGGTCCTACAAAAAAACACTACTATAAAAGACTAGGTTTGTACTGGGTCAGACTGGACGTACGTAGGGACATCTACATGTTCAAACCCAGCTGGGGAACATGGAAGAGGTCTTCTTCCTTTCAAATCGAGGTGAAGAAACGTGAAGAAGTGCAGCTTGAAGCTGGATGATCCTCATGTTTTGGGTCTTATTTGGGGCATTATTATTGTGTATTGTATTAATTGTTTGTCTTACAATTATATATAGTATAGTATGCTATGTAGTGATCCGAAATAATTAAGCTAGAAAAGCGATGAATAGCTACAATCACTATAGTCTAATGGAGACGAGGAAGCAGTTCCTATGTTGTGGAGACCCCTATACATATATTCTTTCAGGACTTGTTTAATCCCCTGTCTCTCAGTCTCTTATCCTCAATCAGCTCCCAAAGTGGGAAGTGCCAAACTAAATCGACAAGTCCATGGGCTCTCGGTTTTCGCACGCTTCAACCGTCGTGGTCGTGGGCGCATTCGGCAGGTGTCCTGCCGCTGGTGTGACGTTTGCCTCGCGACGGGTCACGCCGTGGATCAACGTGGGGGTGAGTTCACTCAGGAGTGGGATCAACCGTGAAGGATCTCGATCTGGAGCGTGGTTCCAGATTGCGCGCAAGCGCTTCGGTAAGCAGAAAAAATAGCTGGGCAAACGACACCTGGAAGTGGACCAGGACCCCCCCTTGTTGAAAAGGAGTTTCCTCTTCAAACAGCAAGCGACTCCAGGGCAGTGTATCATGCGTATCTTGGACCAATCCACCTTCTATTTCTGCCTGGTAATGCCTGGTATATATTACCACCTTCTGAGTATGGTATTTCCTGCCCTATTTCTGCCTGGTCTTACCACCTTCTAACTGCTACCCAACCCATCTGGGTCGATGCCCGCTTCCCGGCGACCGTCTGTGAAGTGCCGAAGGATCGATGGGAGACGGACTGCCGATTGGTCCGGCTGTGGTGGATGAGAGATGCCCAACCTTAGTATATATGGCTGGTACATGGTGGTAGTCATTGTGGTACCCGAAAAAAAGTAGAACCAAACAAACATAAACAAACACAAAAAAACACATGAAACAACTATGAAGAAATACATCCTTTGGTGCAATTTGTCGGAAGAATGACCAGGACCTTCAGTCCGTTTTCGCAGGAGTCGGACGAGTCTCTGTTCGGATGAGTCGATCGATCTGACGGGGTCAGAGTGTCAGTGCCACGTAAGAGTGTCACTATTCCTGGGCATGTTCCAGGACACCTGGGAGCAAGTAGACATCATTTTGGAGCCTTTCCATATTGCAAGGCTGGCAGGAAAGATTTTGGGAGAAATTACAGGAGCATTAAATACATCTAAATACTAAAAGACAGCTCTTTTATCCTTTGGCATGCTGTCGCCAGGGCCTTTCGATCTACTTGACTGATCTCAACCCATGCACCGCGGAGTTAGACTCCCGCGTCGCGTCCGATTGTGGATCCGCAGGACTGCCGGGTGCTGCTGCAGTGCACCATGGCCTGTGGGGGTTACACAGGCAGTGGCCTAGTACTGGCCATGGCAGCTGGACAGAGCAACGCCAATCTCAGGCAGGAAGCGGAGGGGAAGGAAGCGGAGGGTGGGGGGTGGGAAACCACACCCAGGGTGCTTTTTTAAAGATGGGCTAAAGATATCGACGCACGTATCATGCGAAAACAAACGTATTGCGAACATGATCATTTTACTTCACCTGCTTCGGAGTGCTTTTACACTTCCAGTGACCTACGATGTGCAACGTTGGAGGATCAGCAGTGGGTTTCACTGCTCCTAGCAGTAGCATATCCAAGCATCCAAGAAAAACTGCGCCGCACCGGAGCCACGAACCTGGCCGATGTGATTGGGGCGGTCGGTCGCCCAAAAAAAGACCCTGACCCAACGCGTGTGTCGGAGAAAACCGGCAGAGATCTACGGTATAGATCTAGATCTTGCAGGGACCAACTCTTAACGGTGAACCAGCAGCTTTTGATCTGTAGACCTTTAGCAATTCCCTCCAAACTCCAAGCCCAGGAGAGAGGGAACCTTCGGAACCGATTCGGAAGCAACGATTCTTTTGATCGCCAGCCGGTCGTGACGTGGACCGAGTGTCTTCAAACGGGTTCAGTGTATCAACCGATTCGGGACACGAACCGGTCAGGAGAAGGGAGACGGGGCCCTACCTAAGGCCTCCACCTATAGAGGGTGGAATTGGTTTCCTCCAGTTGAGTCGGTGGTGCCGAAGAAAAAAGCCCGAGGAGAAAGGAGTTCCTGAACACTTCCCTGGAAGTCCAAGTCTTCAAAACTATAAACATGGATAAACATGGTCTAATTCTATGTCTTATGTGATCCGAGCTTCTCGGAGTTTCCTTTCCTTCGGGTGCGACGTGTCTTTGAACTTCTCAGGACTTCGGCGCCGAAGAGTCCAACTCACGGGGTTACCCAGTCGGGTCCCGTAGCTTCGACGGAACTGAGACTGGGTCGAATCCAAGCTGTGGACGCCCAAAGAAGCAGAAAGAAAGGCTTTTTGCAACATGTTCCAACTTTCCAGTCCAGAACGTTTGTAGTTACCAAGTGGTGTTTGCACATGCGAGGCCGACTTGTTTCGAATTCTTCTTTCAGACCTTGGGAAACCTAAATTTCTTTTAAAATAATTCTAATAGCTTCTTTGTTACTACTAGTAAGGCACCTGTTACTACTAGCGAGGCACTTGTAGCAGCAGCGAACACATCCAGACCTTGCGAAACCTGTCGAAACGATGCGACGCTCTCGCCGTCGCCCCGTCCGCTTCGTGCCCTGCCCGTCCTTGACCGCAGGTCGAAGCAGCTGCATTTACACTCGGCCTTTGCCAGTGGCAAGCACCGCACCGCTGCCTGGTGGAAGGCCCGAAACTGCTCCGCTGCATCAGTCTAGACGGTCGAAGCGAGCGGTTTGTCTTCACCCCGGTGGTGGGTGGAGCAGAACAGGGTGCTTTGGGAGCCTTGACAAGACATTCTGAAATGATCTGAAATGTGTGGCCAGGCGCCCAAGGGATTGAAGATGGGAGCGATCCGGAGACCTCCAATCAATGCCTTTTTGGTCTATTTCTCTTCTTCCAGGGGTCTTTGAAGGTCTCCCTATTTTAGCACACACCCATATACTGTATATAGTCCTGATTGTAAAGGATTACACACATTCAGTGAGCGGGTGGCCCCAATGAAGAGAAGGATCAAGGCACCACGAGTGGAGCAGAAGAACGCCTCTTCGAAGGTCTTGGCGCGCTATGAGCGTGATGAAGCGAGCGGCTTCAAGCATCTGAGGGAGCGGCGAAAGAGGTATGAGGCTGAAGACGGATGGCTGAAGACGGACGTGTCCATTCCCCCACGCAGACGACCTCGTTGGAAAGCTTTTTCGATACGTTCGAAGCAGGCGACCAAGTCGCGCACCGATGGGGGAAACCGTGTTGATGGCCCAAGACTCTAGTGGATAGCGGATGCCCAATTATGACCAAAGCCCTGGGAGGTTTCTGGTCTTTCTGTTGAAAATGTATGGCCCAGGACCTCGGGGTTCGCTGGCCTCCCCGCTGCCTCGGGGTCTGGTTTATCTTGCATGGAGAGCTTTGTACGATCCTGATCTGCAAAGCTTGAGGCACGGTAAGCTCATAAATAGAGAGGCGAGTGTGGAGCCACATTACTATTACCTCTGGTCCTGGTTGTGGATTGTTGGTGTCGGCAATCGAACAGCTCTTGCAAGCTCCATGCACTGGACTCATTTGCATACATTTGCCCAAATTAATCTACACATGAGCCGAGCCACGCCTCTCACAGCCGGCACATCCTATCTCGGACCTAGGCATTCCCTAGTCGGTAACAAAATTTACTAACCATCATCATCCACTGTTACTGGTCATGGGATACAGCTACACTGCTACACCAACAGATTGCTCACAAGAAAGAAATCCACATCAACCCGTTAGCCCCATGTAGAACCCATGAAGTGCTCAACGGATTCTGATAGTTCTGAACCGCCGTACTGCAGGGTTCTTACCTTCAGGTGCAGCCAGTCAGCGGAGCGCAGGTTACAAGACCACCTGTGTGAAAGGTGCCAGCAACCGGACACCAAAACACACTTGTCCCTTACATGGTCGAAGTACGAGCAAGAACGGCAACAGCACCCCCAAGGCTGTAGCCATCTTGCGGAACTGTTGGTTCCCGTTGCCGAAACATTCATCAGATGCCGAGCTTGTTACTCAGGCCATGCACCTTCGAAATCTGGCGTTACATACTTTGCCAGTACCCACACATACTGTAGATCCAATCTTCTACACGGCGAACAGATCGAGTAATACGCCCACAGACCCTTTGTCTGCACGACAGCAGCCTGGACAGTAGTCTCACAGACAGGGTCCGACCTGAACATTTTGTTCAATACTAAGTAATGTTCATAGGACATCTCAAGGTACATCAAACGATCAACCGGGCCGAAGCGTTCGCGACAGGGTACCTCTTAATGCCAGAAAATCATATTGTAATAACAAAATTAATATGACACCTGTGCGAAAATTCATCGTGTAATTGCGAACATGACACGCTCATTGCGACAAAGACAAATCCTGCTTAGCACCAAGAGCCTTCTTTGCACCAAGATAGATCCTTGAATTTTTGCACACAAGGAAGCCGCCAGCTTTTTACCTCTGGTTAAAGGGTGCCCATTGTTCGCCATTATTGTTGCAGTCGGCAATGAAAAAGTACCTCAGCCGGTACAATTTTGAACTGATTCTCAATATGTACATTGATATCATCAACAACATTGAAAAAGACTCCACAACTCCAACAGCCACACAGAAAAGGCAATTGGGATCTCATTAGCAGCGTTTCGGCAATGCATCTCACGCGTAGACTAGCGGACTAGCGAGTTTAGGGTTTTCGATCTATATGAGTGGAGGACCCAAACCAGTCTTGATTTAACGACAAGCATCTACTTCAGTCTTGATAGCCAAGAGCTTCCATGTTCACTTGAAGGTGCTTTGGGGCTTCACGAGCCATGTCATCACGAACCATTTTACAGTAAGATCACTAAGAAATCGCTAACCAATAGCAAGAGAACACACAAGACCATGCAAGATCCAAGTTCCTGGGACCCTCCCCGAAATGCGGAACTCACATGGTGGAAGTGGATGGCATGGTCCCGAAAGGAGGATCATTTTCTGAATACCAAACAGGGGTTGAACTCCACTTCCATGTTATATAGTTTCAGAGAGAGTAAGTGACAGGTTTTGGTAAGAAGCTCTCTGCTTCTTCGGCCCAACCACCCAAAGAACTGAAAAATGCCGACGAAAGCAAGCTACCCTGCGCAGGCCTTCCTGCCGCATGTCTTGGAGCGCGGGCTGCTGCAGGAGCGACCGGCCGTGCTGGCGAAGGGCGTGAAATACGTGGCGCTCTCCGTGTCCTCAGCTGGGCAGGCCGAGTGACGGAACAAGTGGCAGACCGAAGGAACGTGACAAACATTTATTTCACTCCCCTCAGGGAATTTCAGATCTAGTGCTTTTCTCTTCAATTAGATGCAATAGCTGCTGTTGTGACCAGTGTGTCCACAGTGACATTCTGAACCGCCCAAAGGGGCTGCGTGCGGATTCGGAATGAGGGGGCCCCAGAAGAGATTTTACAATTGAGACTTTCCAGTTTCTGATTTTCGTCAGCAGTCTTGTCGTTGATGGCTCTTGTAGCCCCTCTTTGTTCCTTTGAATCTGTTTGGTACAATCCAAATGGGGAAGGGGTAACAATCAATGAATCAAGAGTCTACATTTCGTTGTGGTCTTCTGCAAGTTAATGGAATGAACAGCTTTCATGTCAAAGAGTTGTGGTTTGTTTTTTGGTGCAGCTTGAAAAGATGGGACCCAAGAACAAATTTATATGGGGTACTTGGGAAACTAGTTGTTTGTGCTAAATTGCATGAATAATTGCCGAGAGCAGGCTCTCTAAACACATCTCCTTTTCTTGGTCGAGTAGTTTAGTAGTCATTGTTTACAGTAAATGTTGAATGATATCCTGCAGCAGTTGGTGGGGGGGTACCAAAAATAATGACCGTATATTTTCTTCCAGGTTGAAGGGACCATTTACAGTGATTTCAGAGTAGATGGCACAAGGGCCCCCCAAGTTTGGTAGTTTATATGGACCCCAATCTTTTCAAGACATCTTGGGGTGCCAGTGTCATCGCAGCCATCGAACAGCTGAAACCACTTTAAGGCTCTGAGCTTCTTGTGTGAGCAGTTGTGAGCTTAGGCCAGTCAACCCCCCCAAAGATCTTGGTGTCACTATGGAGGTGATGGTTATTGTACGTGCCACACATGGGAACAGCTCTAACATATAAGTGGCTGTGGGCCCTGGGCTGTGGGTCAAAACCCGGAGCCCTAATCCCTGGTAAGTTGACCTCCCTAAGCCTAGTAGTCTAGTCTGTTCATCGAAAGATGGTCCGATGGTCTACCAGGGTCCCCCGGTTTTGACCCACAATCAATTCCCACTGCCCTCAAAATCTTGGACATGCCACAGGTCATATGTCCCCCGACATTTTCTCATAGGCGAAGGTGTGGTGTTCCACCCTATAGAAACACCATGGGCATCCCTGAAGGACGAACCAAGCAGAGAGATGTCGGGTCAATCATGAGTTCCTCATGAGTTGATTTTTCATCTTGCCATACCCAGACACTCCATAATATGTGTCACATTTGCCTACATTAGTGGTTTGTGGGGTCGGGGATAGGCGAGGTGCACTCATCACTCATCACCCATCCACTTCATCACCGAAGACATCGTCGAAGGCCTTCCTCAAGAACAGCGAGAGCCGCTTTCAGCTTTGCCCCGTTCCACCTGAGCTTCTCACCAAGCCGTCACCGCCCGCGCCCAGTCCGCCCGTGCAGATTCGAGCCCCGGCAGTTACGGGGAGTTACCGCTGGATCCAACAAGCCCGACCGACCCGACCGTCTTCCAAGAGCATGAAAAGAACGGCCTGGTGACCTGTGGTACCGTAGATCCGTATCGTCCAACCATTGGTACCGTTTTCCGGTCATGGCCCATCCAACTCCCGCGGGCGGGGAGTTTCCGCTCCGGAAGTTCAGGAAGCCCTTCCCGCTCGATGCACACAGGTGCGCTGCGACGGCCAATTCTCATGCCACAGCAGATTGAGCACTGGTGGTACCACTGCTTAGCACCAAATTCTCAGATTCGATCGGTGCGGCGGCATGCGTCTGGCTGCATGCTCTCTGTGTTGACCAGGTGTGAAAATCATGTCGGCCAGGGCCCCGAACATGGCCCAAACGGTAGTCATGGATTTGTCCTCAAAATCACTTTACTGATATTTTTTTAATTCTGCCACTTCACCTTGACCAATCTGGCATAGAGGACAAGCAAAGAGAGGCCATTTCCCTCTGTTGCAGGAAGACATCACCACCTGAGATAGAGGATCTTCGAGTATTTGCTAGGTTTTTGTACTTCTCAGGTGGTGCCGATGTCTTTGCATCAACAATGCTTCTTAATCAGCTAAGCTGAGGAGTGTCTCAAATCTCATAATGAATCCTCTGGTTCAGATAGTCCGTCTTCGCCGTTCTTATCCAGCTGAGGATCTTCCGGCCTTTCCTTGGCCATCGACCAGAAGATCCAAGAGCTCTACAAGCGGCTGTCACATGTGCGACAAACCTGGATGCGGCGGCTGAACATCATGGGGGAAGCCATCATCTCAAATCCCATCCTGCGTGCGTTGGCAGAGGTTCAAGGGCTTGATCCGTGTGGTGCATTGTGGTGCTGCCTTTTTGTTTTCTGATTCTTTAGAGGGCATCTTTGGATTGGTGCGTAGGTAGATGGGTGATGATGGGTGGATAGGTAGGAAACCAAATCTCCACTCCAGCGATGGCCTCCAACCTAATAGCGATGTCCTCCAACCTAATACCGATGGCCTCCAACCTCACAGCGATGGCCTCCAACCTCATAGCGATGGCCTCCAACCTAGGAAACCAAGTCTCCACCCAGAATTCTTTGCGTCCCAGCGCAGCATTGGGAGGTGCGTCCCAGCTCAGTGCTGGCGGCTCAGCAGCACGTGCCTGGTTTGCCGGCGCTCTTGCATCAGGACTTGGCGCAGGCCGGGGTTGGGGACGGCCCAAAAGAGGAGGAACATTCCAAAAGCATCCAAAAGCCATGGAGCAGATGAACTCTTGAAGTATGTCAGTATGTGTGATAAGGCCATGAACAGCCACAGAAAAAGCATTGAAAAGCATTGAAAAGCCATCGGACTTTCAGAAACAGACCCTACAACCTCCTCAGAAGGTACTTAGACCCTCCTGGCACCCACCCCAGTCCCACCTTCTCAGCAGGTACGACGGGAGGCCTAGGGAGAGGACACTGTTCGCACATGACACATCAGTCCGGCCACATACTCGCGCGCGTCGCACGCCCGCCAAGCTGCCGGTCGTACCGAGACGGTGCAAGCCCGGACGGTGCCATCGGACGGGTTCGGGTCGTCGCTTCGGGTTCGCCTTGTTCTGGGGGCCGGGTGGTTTTCGTTTTCTCCATACCGATGACTTTGATGACTGGTATATAACCCTCTAGTGGAGATTGGTTTGATGATTCCCAAGGGCCAACAGGTGGAGTTCGTTCGGTGGACCCGAAAAAGAGTCCGGTTCTCTACCGGCCAAGCCAGTTCCAGTTTGGTGACGTTCCAGTTCCACCCGGCCGTTCGCAGGTCTTGGAGGCCCTCATTGGGGAGATCAACGGAAGCTGCCGGGAGTTCTCCTTGACGCAATGTGGCGATGAGCGCCTCTTTGGGAATGACCGGGGAGGGCGAGGATGACTGGTATACGCCTGGTAGACTGGGCGATGGTGTCGGTCAGACCGATTGGAGATCTGCTGGACTCCGAACCCGACTTCCCGGCAGGTCCACTCACCGCACTGCTGGGAAGTTGGTCAAGTTCCTACAGACTGGAGTAGACAAAGAATGACAAAGAGACATCACAAGATATATCTTGATGTACGTACTTTGTCTCCTCAAGTCTGCCATTCTTCACGGGATTTCTGTGAAGACACTCGAGTCAGAAGCCGCCACCACGGCTCTCCGCGGTTGACCCGCTGGTGAGACGGAGCGGAAGTGACCGTTTTGCAGGCGTTGGTTTCCCCCGATTGAACTGGTAGTTGTGGGGGTGGTCCTTTTCTAACCAGAGCCCATCAGCTATCGATAGCAGATTCTGACTCCATCTTGACTGAAGATAAAAAAAACAAGCCGTAATGAGGCGTACGAACATTCACCACCTCCAAATGGATGGTTTAGTATGGTTTAGGATGGGTAGCGTGAACATGCACATGTTATACGAGCATGATAGCCTACCCGAGCCTTCGTGTTTCAGGGATCGTCTAGCAGGTGAAGTGGCCGCTCATGTCATACAACGAAATATCGGGCTCTTGGGTGAAAGGATGTGAAACGCCGACCCGAGATCGCTGAATGACATGGAAAAAGACATAGAAAGCTTTTTGAACATCAAACATGCCATATAATAACAGGCAAAGATGTGAACACCACAGTTTTTGTTGCAACGGGTTGTTTGTGCCATCTGTTTTTTTGCTTCGCGGTCTGAACGCAAACCTCTCTTAAAGTCAGGGCCTCTTAAGGTGTGGACTCCTTTTGGCACTCAGTCTCAGCAAAAGTTACCCTGGTTTTGCTTAAGGCGATCTTGTCCCCCCAGAAGACAATCTGAAATACCTTGAAGAAGGGTGGCGAACACCACTCCGAGCGGTTGAACAAAACGGCAAGGGACGTCTACCCTCTGGTCGGACCGCCGCAGGCTCTGCTCGGACCTGCTCGGACCGCGGTGCTGCGCTTCGGCCCCAGGCGCAAGCGGAGCCTCCACGCTGCGGAGCCTCCGGCCAAGGTGCCGTGCACGTCGACGGCCTTATACCGGTCGACAGGCCAGAGGTGTGGGCGGATGAGGGGGGGGGGAATGGCCAAAGAGAAGACTGAATTTAACATTATTCGAAGCTAACAGGTCTTGGAAATGGTCCACGTCCATGAAACCATGGATTCTTCTTGTTGTTTGGTTGTATGGGAAGAAAAACAGGAAATCGGCCAGAAACAAACATACTCTACTCGGTTTATGGTACATCCTCAAACATCGGACGTACGTGTGTTGTTGATTGACACGATCCGTTTCTCGCTCTACAGATTCACATGGTGTTTTAAAGGGGCTGAGCCTGTGTCCCTCCCTTTTCGGAGTGGGAGTGTGTTGTTTTCAAGAGTGTGGGGGAGTGTGGGGATGGGGTGCTGGTCGGATCTGCTTCCGGATTCCGGGGGTCATTTGGAGCTTGGATGATGATTCACGATTCGTCTCATACTTGGATAGGGACAGCAGAGTTTTCGCTCAGCGGTTGCTTGTGCTGAACCCTAACTTCGTTAAGCAGTTCCCTGGACACAGGGTGTTACATGATGTTCAATGATGACGTTTAGCAGGAGAAGGACTCCGTCAACTTGATCAGGACCTTCAGACTGGGCAACTGATGGCTGCCGAGATGCCGAAATCTGTGCGAGTTCAGCGAGCCACGCCCGGTGCATTGACAGGTAAGCCAATCGTTTGAGGTCGTGGAGAGGAAAATTCCACGAGACCAATCGTGGAGATTGTGAAGAGGCGACTCGTGACAAGAAGGCTACAATCGATATGCTTGAAGAGCATGACAAATCGATTTCAGATGCCTGTGAAGGGAGGAGAAAGCTCTCCTACGCTCTCAGCCGCCTCAAGTAGGTGTCCGGAAACACTTCATGCAATGTGACAAGAGCGTTTGCCTGATCCGGTAAGGGCCATGCCACCGATCATGTTGACTGTGGATATTTATAAACAGCCCCTACCATAATTAGTTTTATTGTACCTGTGGTTCTTTTGAAACGTCTACATTGCGCAACATGCTGATTTTTCACAAAACCCTTCTGAAGTCATCAGTTCTTTCCTCGATTGGTTGGAACGGAACTGACCATGATGGTTCTTCCTGCCTCCTTGAGCTATCTTGACCGTGCGATCCAGTGATTTCGCGCGACCACCAACCACCAACTCTCAAGTCGAACGATGACTCGAAGAAGAGTCCATAAGAGTCGCTGTCGGTCCGCCGGAAGCGGCTTCCTTCTCAAACGGACGAGTCGGCGCCGTCTTGAGGCGTCTCCCCACGTCCTGCGAGTCGGCGTCTCCCCACGTCCTTCGGCGAGGAAGGCGGTCTCGGCGTGTCGGACTCGTCATCGGATGCCTGGCGGTTTGGGATGAAGGAAGGCGACCGTTGGGATGGAAGACAGGAGGTCTGAACAGGGAGAGGGAGACGCACCGACCTCCTGGGTCTTGTCTGAACATAGACCAGTCGTTTGAGATTGGGCCAGGGGTTGAACACTGTTGAAACACACATCCATATTTTGCATGGAAGGCGTGTCGTTTGTGGTTTCGCCGCTGAAATGGCATACAGGTCTCGCAGGTGGAGGACTGCTGGTTTTTTTGATTGCGGGTTTTCCTATTACGTAGGAATACCACATGGTACCAGCACATTCTAAATGTTATATCACCCGGAGATCCCTATCTGAGCCATAAGCAATCTCCGGGAGCTTCAGAAACGTGATCGGTCCACTTTGAAGGTTTGGTATACTGAAGGATTCGGCGACAGTTGGAAGAGAAACAGTCCAGTGGTCCAATACAACATGTTTACCCAACTTGGTTTGGTAGCTGGTGCTCCGGAGGGAACTAAGGCTAAGGAGTCCCAAAAATATCCATATTCCTTAAACCCGTTTGGAGCTCCGGGGCGCTAAGTTGCCCCACAACTTGCGCCCCGTTTCGTGCGGCATGCCAGGCAGCGGCCAAAGCGCCGTGCCAAAGTCTGGTGATGAGTCGTGGTCTCAGCATTTTGGGATGACCACCCAGACACGAGACCGGACCCGAGTCCTTTGGAGACATGAAGTGTCCCGAATCCCTCATAGGTCCTGGGGTCGAACAAAGCCCGTTTTGAGGGACCAAAGGCTGGGTGGTGTGCAAGCCAAACGCCAAACGCCCGTAGCACATACCAGGACGATCCTGTCTGGGTGTCCTGGTCCCTAGACTACTATCCGGGATGTCCAGACAGGACACCCAGACAGGATGGTCCGGGTATTTACGGTATCCTCGGCCGTACCTTCCCACTGGGAAAGTGGCGGCAATCCAGCAGTATGAGGACAAAGCCGTTGCGGACATGCTAGCCGAAAAGGTCCAGCAGCCACCTGATGTGGTGCAGACACCGGATCCGCATTATCCGCAGGTTACCCTGAGGGAGCAGTATGATCCAACTGACTTCCCGACCTTCGATCAAGCTTGCCTTGGCTGCTATATGTCTGACGTCAGGCTGAGAAGAGCATCTTACAGGCCAGCACCTCGGCACGGCATGCCTGGAGGCGACTCACCGCGAAGGCGGCCGTGCAGCTGCTGGTGCTGTGTGGACTGCCCAGGCTCATCCCAGTGGTGCGGGGGCAGATTGGCGTGCTGGCACAGATGTGCGTCACTCAAGCAGTGCGCTGAGTGCGACTCTTTGGAGTGCGAGCAGCCCTGAGTTGCATCCGCCCATTGCAGCTCTGACCATGCTGAAGGCCGAGGACAGCAAGCCACAAATGGCGCAGCTTTTGTCAGAGCCCGTTGATGAGGTCCGCCGCCAGCTGCTTTTGGTCGTGTATTGAAGTCGGCATTCCGTGCCTTATCATTTGACAGGTACGCCGGAGTCCTGGCTGCACCAAGAGCTGGACCGGCCACAAAGCCGGCTGTATGCCTTGGACTACGACGCCACCGCCCCTGGAAGTCAAAGACCATTTTTTAAAATTAGTTGATTTGGTTTTGTAGTTTAAAACCGTAAAACAGCTGGTGGTTCGGGATGACCTGGCTATTAAAACAATGGTGGGCCACGACTTCTAGGGAATAGGGTTGAAGCTCGGGGTGGGCCGCGCCTTGGCAGAGAAGCCGGACCAGATGCGGCCTGCTCACGAGTGGGTTCCTGACCATGTTCCGTGGGCCGAGCATTAGCCCTGGGCAC